TTAGTAGAGACGGGGTTTCACCATGTTGACCAGGATGGTCTCAATCTCTTGACCTCTTGATCTACCCGCCTTGGCCTCCCAAAGTGCTGAGATTATAGACGTGAGCCACCGCGCCCGGCCTCCTGTTCTATTTTTATGTGAAACCCACCCTTTAATCAACTCCTGCATATCTTATTCTTTTTCTCTCACCATCCCTTATCTGCCTGCTCTTACAACAAACTTAATTCAGCTATACTTTTCTCTTCTTTTCATGCCAGGTTATAACTAGAGAGAAAGTTACAGAAAAATTTTACTCTGTCGTATTTCACCTGTATGGTCCTCACATTCTGCTGGAACTTCAGCATTTTTTTCAGCATTAATCCTTTTAGTGCATATTTTACGTAGTTAATCTCTGTAACTATATATTAAAATTTCATGGTTTTTCTCAAACCCTCTGTCTTTCTCTCTGTCTCTTAATTACTCCACTCTGTTGAAAACTTTGCCTACTACTTTATTTGGTAAATGGAGGTCTTTATGTATCAAATTTAATTTATTATTATCTATCTATTTAGCCAATATTTATTATGCTCTTCATTGTTTTGGACATACAGCAGTGGAAAAGTGTCATTTTGGGCCCTTACATTTTATGAGCAAGACTGATGTGGCAGATTCAGTTATTACCTCACTAGCGTCTTTTTTCATTATAATTGGGCTTAACTAGGACATAGAATTTAACAGCGATTATGGATGCAGGGTGCTATAACTAGTATTTTTAATTTTATTTCATCTTTACTTTCTGATATTTTACCTAATTAATCTGTATTAGTTATATAATTTTTTAGAGCCTGTATAAAACAGAAACCAATGACTAACATATGAAGCTTAATAGGTACTAAACATTATGCTAAATAATACACAAGGATTATTTTGTTTAATCCTTGCCACAGAGAGTTTGGTGATGACTAGATAGGCAAGTCTGTGTAAATATGAAATGCAATGATGAGATTTACAAGGGTTAACTAATTGGATCAAGATCAAATATCCAGTAAAGAGATAGACCTGTGATGTAAATCTTGGCAAATCTATCAAAGAAGCACATGCAATTAATCTTAGAAAAATAATCTCTAAGTAGCGCAGACATTTTTTTTTTTTTAATTTTTTATTGGATTATAGGTTTTGGGGTACATGATCAGAGCATGCAAGACAGTTGCGTAGGTACACACATGGCAGTGTGCTTTGCTTTTCTTCTCCCCTTCACCCACATTTGGCATTTCTCCCCAGGCTATCCCTCCCCACCTCCCCCTCCCACTGGCCCTCCCCTTTTCCCCCCAATAGACCCCAGTGTTTAGTACTCCCCTTTCTGTGTCCATGTGTTCTCATTTTTCATCACCCACCTATGAGTGAGAATATGCGGTGTTTCATTTTCTGTTCTTGTGTCAGTTTGCTGAGGATGATGTTCTCCAGATTCATCCATGTCCCTACAAACGACACGAACTCATCATTTCTGATTGCTGCATAATATTCCATGGTGTATATATGCCACATTTTTCCAATCCAGTCTATTATCAATGGGCATTTGGGTTGATTCCAGGTCTTTGCTATTGTAAACAGTGCTGCAATGAACATTCGTGTACATGTGTCCTTATAGTAGAACGATTTATAGTCTTTTGGATATATACCCAGTAATGGGATTGCTGGGTCAAATGGAATTTCTATTTCTAAGGCCTTGAGGAATCGCCACACTGTCTTCCACAATGGTTGAACTAATTTACACTCCCACCAACAGTGTAAAAGTGTTCCTTTTTCTCCACATCCTCTCCAGCATCTGTTGTCTCCAGATTTTTTAATGATCGCCATTCTAACTGGCGTGAGATGGTATCTCAATGTGGTTTTGATTTGCATCTCTCTGATGACCAGTGACGATGACCATTTTTTCATATGATTGTTGGCCTCATATATGTCTTCTTTCGTAAAGTGTCTGTTCATATCCTTTGCCCACTTTTGAATGGGCTTGTTTGTTTTTTTCCTGTAAATCTGCTTGAGTTGTTTGTAAATTCTGGATATCAGCCCTTTGTCAGATGGGTAGACTGCAAAAATTTTTTCCCATTCTGTTGGTTGCCGATCCACTCTAGTGACTGTTTCTTTTGCCGTGCGGAGGCTGTGGAGTTTGATTAGGTCCCATTTGTCTATTTTGGCTTTTGTTGCCAATGCTTTTGGTGTTTTGTTCATGAAGTCCTTGCCTACTCGTATGTCCTGGGTAGTTTTGCCTAGATTTCCTTCTAGGGTTTTTATGGTGCCAGGTCTTATGTTTAAGTCTTTAATCCATCTGGAGTTAATTTTAGTGTAAGGTGTCAGGAAGGGGTCCAGTTTCTGCTTTCTGCACATGGCTAGCCAGTTTTCCCAACACCATTTGTTAAACATGGAATCCTTTCCCCATTGCTTGTTTTTGTCAGGTTTATCAAAGATGGTATAGTTGTATGTATGTTGTGTTGCCTCCGGTGCCTCTGTTTTGTTCCATTGTTCTATATCTCTGTTTTGGTACCAGTACCATGCTGTTTTGATTACTGTAGCCTTGTGGTATAGTTTGAAATCCGGTAGTGTGATGCCCCCCGCTGTGTTCTTTTTGCTTAGAATTGACTTGGCTATGCGGGCTCTCTTTTGGTTCCATATGAAGTTCATGGTGGTTTTTTCCAGTTCTGTGAAGAAAGTCAATGGTAGCTTGATGGGGATAGCGTTGATTCTGTAAATTACTTTGGGCCGTATAGCCATTTTCACGATATTAATTCTTCCTAACCATGAACATGGAATGTTTCTCCATCTGTTTGTGTCCTCTCTGATTTCGTTGAGCAGTGGTTTGTAGTTCTCCTTGAAGAGGTCCCTTACGTTCCTTGTGAGTTGTATTCCAAGGTATTTTATTCTTTTTGTAGCAATTGCGAATGGCAGTTCGCTCTTGATTTGGCTTTCTTTAAGCTGTTATTGGTGTAGATGAATGCTTGTGATTTTTGCACATTGATTTTATATCCTGAGACTTTGCTGAAGTTGTTTATCAGTTTCAGGAGTTTTTGGGCAGAGGCAATGGGGTCTTCTAGGTATACTATCATGTCGTCTGCAAATAGAGACAATTTGGCTTCCACCTTTCCTATTTGAATATCCTTTATTTCTTTTTCTTGCCTGATTGCTCTGTCTAGAACTTCCAGTACTATATTGAATAGGAGTGGTGAGAGAGGGCATCCTTGTCTAGTGCCAGATTTCAAAGGGAATGCTTCCCGTTTTTGCCCATTCAGTATGATATTGGCTGTTGGTTTGTCATAAATAGCTTTTATTACTTTGAGATACGTTCCATCGATACCGAGTTTCTTGAGGGTTTTTAGCATAAAGGGCTGTTGAATTTTGTCAAATGCCTTCTCTGCGTCAATTGAGATAATCATGTGGTTTTTGTTTTTGGTTCTGTTTATGTGGTGAATTACGTTGATAGACTTGCGTATGTTGAACCAGCCTTGCATCCCTGGGATGAATCCTACTTGATCATGATGAATAGGTTTTTTGATTTGCTGTTGCAATCTTTTATTGAAGATTTTTGCATCTATGTTCATCATGGATATTGGCCTGAAGTTTTCTTTTCTCGTTGGGTCTCTGCCGGGTTTTGGTATCAGGATGATGTTGGTCTTATAAAATGATTGGGAAGGATTCCCTCTTTTTGGATTGTTTGAAATAGTTTTAGAAGGAATGGTACCAGCTCCTCCTTGTGTGTCTGGTAGAATTTGGCTGTGAACCCGTCTGGACCTGGGCTTTTTTTGTGTGGTAGGCTCTTAATTGCTGCCTCAGCTTCAGACCTTGTTATTGGTCTATTCATAGTTTCAGCTTCCTCCTGGTTTAGGCTTGGGAGGACACAGGAGTCCAGGAATTTATCCATTTCTTCCAGGTTTACTAGTTTATGTAGCGCAGACATTTCTAAAATATCAACAAATTGTTGGCTACATCAGCTAAATAATTGATGTTTATCAACCACTCTCAAAGTATGGCTTACAAAGATTCTTAAAATTAAGAACAAAACCTGTGATATGTCCTCAGAGCCTCCACAGGATGTGGTCACTGTCTACCTCTACCAACTTCATACTGAATCACTATTTTCTAGACTGAATATTTTCTAAAGCTCAAGCCTTATGGGCTCTTAGTTATGTTTGATCAGTGAATACTACATGATCTTTTTCATGTCACATCTTTTACATGGGATATTCTTCCTGTCTGTGAAGATCTTCACAACCACACATACCTATTCCACTTTAACTACTATACACCATTAAATCTATCACTGTGATTATGAATATAATAATGTTTTAGCTAATTTTTTTATTCTGGTATAAGTGTAGGAACCTATGAAATTGTAACAAATAATAAAGAGATGTCCTGTCAACCCTTCATGCAGCTCCCTCCAGTGTTAAAATTGTGAATAATTATAGCACTATGTAACAACAATAAATTACCATCGATAGAATCTATTATTCAATTTTTATGTTTTATTTGCATTAATTTCTGTGTGTGTATTTATTTCTGTACAATTTGGTCATACATGTAGGGTTGTGTGACTGTCACCAGAGCCAACACACACACAAATTCCATCACAAGGATCCTTTATAAACCCTTTTATTGCTAAAGCCACCTCTCTTCCTCTTTCATAATTCCAGGCAACTGTTAATTGTTCTCTAGCTCTATGATATTATCATTTTTAAAAAGAATTTTATATAAATGGAGTATGTGTAAATGCTTAAATCATTTTTCTTTATTTTTACTTTCTTTGGTGATAATCTTTTTAGTTTTTAGGACAGTTTTACATATATAGAAAAATCGTGAAGATGAATTGAAGAGTCCCAATATACTCAGTTTCCTGATAGTTAGCATCTTACATTAGTTTGGCATAATTGCTGTAATTAATGAAAGAAATATTGATGCATTAGCATTAAATTAGATGTTTAATCCATATTTTCTTAGTATTTACATAATTATTTTTATTTTCCAGATCCCACCTAGAATATCATATTATATTTAGTTGTCAAGTCTCCTTCAGTTTGTCTTGGCTATGACAGTCTCAAAATGTATTTGTTTTGATGGCCTTGAAGCTAGCGTTGTATATTTTGAAGAATGTCTCTCAGTTGGATTGTCTGATGTTTTTCCCACGATTAGACTGGATGACGGGTTTTGGGGAGGAAGACCACAAAGGTAAAATGTCATTTTTATTTTAATCACATCTTATCAAAAGATTTGCTATAATATGACACTATTGCTATTTCTTTAATCATCTAGCAGAGATCAGATTTTTCCACTATAAAGTTTTCTGTTTCCCTTTTGAAACTGTACTCTTTGGAAGGAAGCTGCTATGAGCAGTCCACACTTAAGAAGAGGGGAGTTATGCTTTACTATCTAGAAGGCAGAGTACCTACATAAATTATTTGGAATTCTTCTGACCAAGAGATTTGCCTCTTGTCTTCTATTTATTCGTTAATTTTATCACTTACTTTACATCAGTATAAATTTACAAATACTCATTTTATATTTTGGTTATAATTCAATACTATTTTATTTTGTTGCTCTAATTCTTCCAGCTTTGGCCACTGGTGGCTCTTTATTTAGCTCTTGTGTCACTTTCACATGAATGTGGGATTGTTTGTTTTTGCTGTGGAGGCTTCCTCATTTTCTGCCAAACAAGATGCTCCAGGCTCATTTTATATATTTACTTCCTCAGTCCTAGAATCAGCCATTTATCTAAGGAGATTCCTCTTCTTGGAGAATGGTGTTAGAAACTAAAATCTAGTTTTTACATGTGCTCAGTATGTTGCCTTATGATGCTATTTTTTTTCACTCAGTGTAAATCCCTTGAAATTCCTTTGTGTTTCAATAGTTTATTCCATGTTATTGTTGAGTAGTATTTCATAGTATAGTTGTATCATAGTTTAACAATTCACCTATTGAAGAACATGTGAAATGTCTCCATTTTTAAAATATTACAAATAACATTTAAACTATAAACATTTATGATCTATGAGATTACAATGACTGGGTCATATGGTTGAGACATGTTTAGCTTTATAAGAAACTGGCAAGATATTTTTCCAGAGTTAATGTATATTACCTTCTAGTCCCACCAGCAACCTATTAGTGATCAAGTTTCTCTGTATCCTTAGCAGCATTTGCTATTATTATTATTTTAATCTACTTTATTACATGTGTCATAATATTTTACTGTAGTTTTACAATAATGTTTTATGTACTGCTTGGAAAGGAGGAAGGAAGAAAGGAGGGAAAGAAGGAAAAAAGGCAGTCAGACAGGCTTGTTACCATTAAGGATACCTCATTGATTGCTGTTTATTGGATTTAAAATGTTAAAATGTGACAAAGAAAAGTGCATCACAAGATCAGTAAGTAGCTAATATCTGTTTCTCCTTCATATACCAGATAATAGGCTACTTTCTCAGAGAAGTTTTGCTTGATCCTATAGCCTTGATGAAATCATCCACTTACATATTGTGGCAACCCCCTGTTCACTTTCTCCATAGTACTAATAATACTTAAATCCCTGTGTATTTAATGGGTTAATACAAAGGATATTAATTTAATTGATTAATACACAGGGATAATTTTATCCCTGTGTATTTAGTTGATTTCTCACTACACTACACTACACTCCATGAAGACAGAGACTTTATCTACTTTTCTTACTACACTATCTCCAGTTCTTTCTCCAGCTTCTGACATACAAGTGCTCAATACATATTGTTAAATTATCGTATAGATGTATTCATCATTAATTAATACAGGTTTGAAATGATGTAATTTAATCTTCTTAAAATTCTATTTACTTATTTATAAAATAGAAAATTGATTTATATCAATTGAAAGACTTCAGACTTCCAGTTATAGTGACGTGATAAGTGATAAACATTTTTCTCCTTCGTAAATTGCCATATCCCCTTCCTCAAAATGGACGAATACATCAAATTACCTTTGTAAGTTGGTGTATCTTCCCAGGAAGCTTCAGTCTCTAGGTATCTTGGGAGAGAAGACCATGGTTTCTGCTGTTTTTATATTTATTTAGAAATTTAAAAAGTACTAGACACATAAAAAAGATAATACACTAGTACCTAATAAATATTTGGTTGTTTGTAATAATATAATACGGAAAATCTTATCAAAGCAGAGTGATTTTTAATAGTTATTGATCTATAGTTGTAACATATTTCAGAATTACTCAGATACTGAGATTAACACAGATTAATTTCAATGTGTTTATTGAAAACAGTATTATGACACAAATTATTCACCAAATTTATTGCTAGATAAATAAAAATTAATTTATGTGCTTTGGGCTAGGATAGCCAATCCATTAAAATCTAATGTGTTTGACATCTTCTTAATAAAAGAGAAAGTAACAAATAATATTCAATATAAAATATTAATCAATAAATAGCACCTATGTAAGTTATGATGGGAAAGGAAGCTAAAATCACTGTCAAAGAGCATGATTGGTGATGAGGTCATTTTAAATTAAGAGTAGAATATTCTACAAATGGTATTATGTCTAAGGAATTTTCATCCTTTATATCATAGCTTATTCTTATGTCAAGATTGATAAAGCACAACTTAATCTTTTTATGTGGAACAATTTGAGAAAAATAGAAAATATATCAATGCATATAAGCAATGTAAATTATCTAATTAGATAATTAATGTCAAATTGCCTCATGTTTAAACAAATAGCAATTTAGATGCTTTGTTCCTTCCTCTCGATTTTGTCCTAAGAAGTGCTGACAGATTCTGCTGTCCCTTGAAGTTTGATTTCTCCTCCTTAGTTTTAGCCATACACATAGAAAGCTACTTATCAATAATCTACATTCCTAGCTTATCTTTGCAGAGCTACATTGGTTCCAACTGAATGCTAACAGAAGATATATAGTGCTTTCAAGTCACATCCTTAAAGAAGGTTGAGTATCTTGAGTTCCACTGACTAGGGAAAGAATGGTTAATATCTCATTTAAAAAGCAAGAGTTAAATATGGTAATTCAAGGAAAACAATAATGTTATATATTATTATTTAATTATTATCAATTATATGTTATTGATTTTTGTTCTTATAACATTCTGTTAAATAAAAATTTTAAATTGTCAACTTCAAGGAAAATGTTATTGAAAAATGAGGTCAGAATTCTTTATCCACTATGAAGTGTGTTCTTGAATTTCACTCTGAATTTCCTGAAGCAAAACAAAATAAGAAAATGTAGCTACTTACACAATCTATTGTATCCATGAGGAAGTACCATGCCTGAAGGAAAAACAAGAATTTTAAATACTGATATATTGAAGTAATTCTTTCATGACCGTTTAACAGATGAACAGGAAGCTCTGTACCTACTTCTGTATATCTCTATTAATATAATTTGAGGTGAATCATCAAAGCTTAATGAGGTAAATGCAGTTCTGTAGGAGTCAAAGACAATATACGGGCAGAGTGGCAGCATGCGTAAGGATAGAAATTGACTTATGAATCTGGATTTGGTCTCACCTGTAAATTTTTAGGCAAATCACTTACCTTAAACAAATATAGACCCTTGGACTGTATAGGAGACTAATAGTGCAAATTCATTCAGTGTCAAAGAAAAATTTAAAAAGGCACTGAAATTATTTTTATTAGCTATTTATAGCACATAAATAGCCAAGGTTTTTTGAAGAGTCAAGAAAATAAATTCTTTTTCAGACTAGCAAGGCACATTTCTTATGGTCAGAAGAATATTCTGAAGAAATAGTAGGTCCTAACAGGGAACTGGGGACTTGAAAAGCCTGAAACTTCATTTGGGAAGATGTTGCATTTTTCCTGATTCTTTGGTTATTTAAGGATGTTGAATATTGGCCCCCACTGTCTTCTGGCTTGCAGAGTTTCTGCTGAGAGATCTGCTGTGAGTCTGATGGACTTCCCTTTGTGGGTAACCAAAAACTACAATCAGATATTACCACAAACAACTCTATGCACATAAACTAGTAAACCTGGAAGAAATTGATAAATTCCTGGACACTTGCACTCTCCCAAGCTAAACCAGGAAGAAGTTGAATCCCTGAATAGACCAATTACAAGGGCTGAAGTTGAGGCAGCAATTAATAGCCTACCAACCAAAAAAAGTCCAGGTCCAGACAGGGTCGCAGCCGAATTCTACCAGACATACAAAGAGGAGCTGGTACCATTCCTTCTGAAACTATTCCAAACAATCCAAAAAGACGAACTCCTTCCCAAATCATTTTATGAGACCAATATCATCCTGATACCAAAACCTTGCAGAGATTCAACAAGAAAAGAAAACTTCAGGCCAATATCCGTGATGAACATAGATGCAAAAATCACCAATAAAATACTGGCAAACTGATTGCAACAGCACATCAAAAAGCTTACCCATCACAATCAAGTAGGCTTCATCTTGGGGATGCAAGGCTGGTTCAACATAGGCAAGTCTATAAACATAATCTTTGTTCTTTTTCAATCTCTGGTCAAGATTGCTTTGGCTATTCAGGATGTTTTGTGGTTTCATAAAAATTATTGGATTATTTTTTCTATTTTTGTGAAAACTGACATTGGAATTTTTGGTAGGGATTGCATTAAATCTATAGATCATTCTGTGTTATATGGACATTTTAATTCATTAACAAGAAATATCTTTTCATTAATTCATATTATTTTTAATTTCTTTCATCAATGTTTTATAGTTTCAATACACATGTCTTTTGCTTCCTTGGTTAAATTTATTCCTGAGTGTTTTATAAATGATATTATAAATGAGACTTCAGGGGCCGGAACAGTTTTGAAGTGAATGCTGGAATATGCCAGAGGGCATAAGCACTGAGCCTTGGCAGCATCCACATGGTGCTAATTCTGTAAGCACAGAATACAAAAGTTCTGGAGACCTGGCCTCATTCTCCTGGATTTCAAAGGATGTCTCCCAAAGCCTTCCAGGAGAGAACTGCTGCAGGGACAGAACCACCGAAGACAGTCCCTGGTAAGACAAGGCTTTATAGTAACCGTGGGGGATAGGCTGCCTCAAGAGACCGTAACTGTAGCACCACAGCATGTAACACCAGCTTGGGAGGGCCACAAGCTCCTAATTGCAACCTGTGAGAGTAGCATGATCTGTGCCCATCAAAGCTGTAGGAGTAAGGCCACCAGGAGTGTTGAGTGTAGA